ACATATACATATATATATGTATTTACAGCTAAAAGCTCTGCTGGTTTTCTACCCGGAAGTATTTGTAAACAACAAGGCGATTCCCTCTATAGTCCGGCCGGACGGATGAGTCATGGCCTTGTAAAAGATTATGTTTGTTTTTTTTTAGTTGGCGAGAATGTGTCGCCGCAAATGCGACAAACATCCACTAACTTTGACGGCGTTTTCTGCGAGCAGGCTGAGCCATTTTGTACCGCTACACGTGTTTCTAGTGGGACTATGTTTACAAGCACAAGAGTTCAGCGAGCCACCGAAGGACCGCCCTGCAGATTTACCATTGGTTCTGCAACGTAGGGAGTTTTTTTAAATTCTGAAATTGTATCCGCCCATCTAAACACAAAATCAGGGAGAAAGTCATCAGTCTTTAGTTAAGCAAAGCGTCTAAAGACTGACTTGTGAGTCTACTTTTGCCTCAATGTGTCTTAGTTCTGACTCCATCTCGTCACAACATGCCAGGTTGAAGGTTCCATCTTTAGGCCAACGATTTTTTCCTGATGTTCTTTTGTGCCATTTGGTCACACAGCGTTGGATTCGGTTTCTCCGACCTGGGTGTTGTGTGTGTGTCATCACTATCTGTCAGAACCCCTTTTTCCATCTTTCCTTGGTTGGCTCCCATGAAGCCATGTTTAACTTTACTCGCTCTTGGAATTTGTGGTTGCTCGTCTGTTTCTTTTGTACGTATCATTGCTAGTAATTTCCCTACTGTGATCGCAGTTTTGTATTTATTTATTTATTTTTTTTTCTTTCAGAGGTTATATTCTAGTTTATGTGACCCGTCTCCTAGGGGCCTTTGGTTAAACAGCCAAATTTTCCTGTCTCCCAAATCAGCTTTTCTAGGCACGACAACAATCCGCAACCTTGGATTAAATTCCACTCCATTCTCTAAATCTTGAAATACTACCTGGTTTGGAGGAAGTGAAGCTACGGGTCCATTTTTATAATTATCACACAAATATTGCAGCAGTGGATCTAATGAGCAGGGAGTCCACAAATCATTTAAAATCGTCTCCCACTGTATACCTGGAAATTCTTCCTTCACTTGTTTCATTTGGTAAATTTATTAATTATCCAAAGTGTTAGTCGAATCTCTTGCTCGTCTTGCCACTGCTCCTCACCCTCGTTGTCTATGTAGGTTCTTTGCAACCCGAAACGTGTTCTTTATGCCTCTAGTATCTACTGAACCATCAGTCATGCAATGTTCTTCAGCCCAAATTTCGTCACTACTGCTGTCACCCTTTTCCATCCAACTCTTAGCAGCCTGATTTTAACTTCTCTTTTTTCTTTATTTTATTACTTATTTTATTTATTTATAAAGCTAAATTAAGATAACAAATATTTCTTTTTTATTCTCCCCTTAACAACCAACCAGTTTGTATGGAGTTCACCCGAGCAACTGGTTTGATCAGTGAAACATATGGACTTTCGTTGGCACTGTTAGGTTTCCAATCCCCAGACAATTTGTTGACACGGTTAGGTTACCCTTGTCTGGTTTTGTTTCACTGAGACACTGTTAATAACTACCACATTTAACAACCCTTTAAAACAAATCACATAAAACAAACACACAGATACCAGATTATGATGAAAACATTCAGGCACCAAAATGTCAAAGGAATTTTCTTTGTAATGACCTTTAATCCAATAGAGATCAGAACCGAAGTATTAAATTTTTGTTTTACAAAGCTTTGTTTTTTTTTCTTGTATAAGCCCACTTCTGTTGGCTGTGTGCACCCCTTATCTACCTCTTATGCTCCCCGTCCTTGTCCAGTCGTTAGTCTATTATGTCCTCAGTCTTTTTATCTACACACGTATCTACCTCTTATGCTCCCCGTCTTCGTCCATTCGTTAGTCTATTATGTCCTCAGTCTTTTATCTACACATATCTATTTATAACAACTTCTATCTTCTCCTATAATATTTACAATTTTTACACTTTGATCGATCTTTACCGCAGTCCCCTCAGGGCTCCTAGCGATATTTATCTCTTTTATTTCTTATCCTATCTCTTTTGCATTCTGTCCGTGCAGACCTGCTTCTCTAACACAACTATCCTGCGTTAGGCGTTGCAGGATAACAGCGGTACCCACAGATATGCTTTTTATCATAAACGTGGCACAGAAGGGACACAAAGGCTCAATTCTTCTCCGGTTTGACAAGAGCAAAGTTTATTACCAAAAGACAGGCAGGGTTCAGTACACAGAGAATCAAACAAGACAGGCTAAGGTATCCAAATTGTGAGGCAAAAGCTAGATCAATGACAAAACTGTGATTACCGGCAAGACGAGACAAGAAAGAGTGCTGGGACGAAGACTGTGACGTATGACGAACTGGCAACAAGACAGGGGAAGACATGAGGATTAAATACATGAGGTGATAGGGGGTGATGAGACACAGCTGGGGAGGAACAATCAGGAAACAGGTGTGACAGCGCCAGACAGGAAGTAAAACCTACGGAGACAAGGAGAGACAGGTGAATCTTTCAAAATAAAACAGGAAGTACAGGACAAGACACAAAACATGAACACAAAATGGGTGACTTAACTAACTGAAAACAGGATCATGACAGTACCCCCCCCTCAAGGGCCGGCTCCTGAAGGCCCAGGAGCATCAGGGTGAGCAGAATGAAAGTCCTGGATGAGTTGAGGGTCCAAAACAAAACGTGACGGGATCCAAGTCCGCTCCTCTGGACCGTATCCCTCCCAGTCCACCAGGTACTGAATTCCATGTCCCCGACAGCGAGCAGACAGGAGTCGTCGAACCGTGAAGACAGGACCACCATCGACGACCCGGGGGGGTGGAGGGGGCTTGGCCGGAGGGCAGAGTGGGCTGGACTTAATGGGCTTGACGTGGCTAACATGGAAGGTGGAGTGAATCCACAATGACCTTGGCAACTTAAGCTGGACAGCTGCAGGATTGACCACCTTAGAAATGGGAAACGGACCGATGAACCTGGGAGCGAGCTTCCTGGACTCAACTCTGAGGGGCAGGTTCTTGGTGGAGAGCCAGACCTTTTGACCCGTGACGTAATTAGGAGCAGAGGACCTCTTCTGATCCGCAGCGACCTTGTAGGCTGAAGAGCTCTTAAGGAGGACCTGACGAACCCGCTCCCAGGTTCTCCTGCAGCGCCTCACCAAGGCCAATGCGGATGGAACAGATGAATCCGATTCTGTGGTGGGAAAGAGAGAAGGTTGGTAACCATGGACAATATGAAATGGCGAAAAACTAGAAGAGGATGAGGGCAGTGAATTGTGTGCCACCTCCACCCAAACCAACTTCTCCGACCAAGTCCCCGGGTGCTGCGAAGCCATGATGCGAAGTCCTTTCTCCAACTCCTGATTGGCTCGCTCCGACTGGCTGTTGGTCTGGGGGTGGAACCCAGAAGAGAGGCTGACCGTTGCCCCTAGCAACCTACAAAACTCCTTCCAGAAACAGGAAACAAACTGGGGCCCCTTGTCAGACACAATATCCTGAGGAAATCTGTGAATTTTGAACACGTTAGTTAACATGGCCTCTGCAGTCTCTCTTGCTGAGGGAAGCTTGGGAAGGGGAATAAAATGTGCCATTTTAGACATTCTATCAATGACTGTGAGAACTACTGTGTTACCATTAGAGGGAGGCAGTCCAGTGACAAAGTCCATAGCTATGTGAGACCGAGGTTGCTTAGGAACGGACAAAGGTCTGAGTTCTCCCTGAGGCTTATGGTGAGGGGATTTGTGAGCCGCACAGACACTACAAGCGTTAACATAATCTGTGACATCATGGGCCATATTAGGCCACCAGAATCGGTTTTGGATCACCAACAAGGTTTTTTGAATACCAGGATGACAGGAGACTTTATTGGTGTGGGCCCACTCGATCACCTCACCCCTAAGCTTGTTAACCACAAAGAGTTTATTTACAGGGCAATCAGGGTGTGCTGGAACCTTCCTTCCAGCCGCCTCAACCTTGCTCTCGATCTCCCAAGTAATAGCTGAGATGAAACATGAATTAGGGAGGATAGTTTTGGGTTCAGTGACGTGATTAACTGGGTCAAATTTTCGTGACAAGGCATCGGGTTTACCGTTTTTGGAACCGGGACGATACGAGAGAGCAAAGTTGAAGCGGCTGAAAAAGAGTGCCCAGTGAGCCTGTCTGGCATTTAGTCTTTTAGCTGACTTCAGATACTCAAGGTTCTTATGATCAGTCCATACCTGAAACGGGATCTGAGCCCCCTCCAACCAGTGCCTCCATTCCTCCAGCGCCACCTTTACAGCCAACAGCTCGTGGTCCCCAATATCATAATTCTGTTCAGAGGAGGTTAATTTCTTGGACAAGAATGCACAGGGGTGTAGTTTACCGTCCTTGGGGTTTATCTGTGACAGGATGGCCCCAATACCCACGTCAGAGGCGTCTACTTCGACCACGAACTGTTGGCTGGGGTCCGAGAGGATGAGCACTGGAGCGGAGGAGAAGCTCTCCTTGAGGCTTTGAAAAGCCACATCACAATCTGAGAACCACACAAAAGATTTATGAGGAGAGGTCAGGTTATGCAAAGGGGCAGCAATAGTACTGTAATTCCTGATAAATCTTCTGTAGAAGTTAGCAAACCCCAGAAACCTCTGTACCTCCTTACAGTTACTAGGTGTGGCCCAATCCTGAACTGCTGACACCTTCAGTGGGTCCATCCTGACCTCCCCCTCTGCGAGTACAAACCCCAAAAACGAGACTGACAACTGGTGGAGCTCACACTTTTCTGCTTTTACAAAGAGCTGGTTCTGTAGTAATCTTTCCAGAACTGCTTGAACATGTTGGATGTGGGTTTCCTCTTCAGGGGAGAAGATCAGGATATCATCTAGGTAAACAAAAACAAAAACATTGAGTATGTCTCTTAATACATCATTTACCAGATTCTGAAACACAGCAGGTGCATTGGTAAGCCCAAAAGGCATGACTAAATACTCATAGTGACCAGTGGGGGTGTTGAAGGCAGTCTTCCATTCGTCCCCCTCCTTGATCCTGACGAGATGATACGCGTTGCGTAAATCCAACTTGGTGAACACTTTAGCTCCTTCAAGAAGCTCGAATGCAGATGATATTAGTGGCAGGGGGTACCTGTTCTTAACAGTAATGTCGTTGAGTCCTCTGAAGTCAATGCAGGGACGTAGAGTTCCGTCCTTCTTGTCCACAAAGAAAAATCCTGCTCCCGCAGGAGATGACGATGGTCGGATAATTCCAGCAGCGAGGGACTCGGTGATGTACTCCTCCATCGCCTTACGTTCTGGAGGAGACAAGGAATACAGTCTACCCCTAGGGGGGCGTAGAACCAGGTAACAACTCGATAGAGCAATCATAAGGGCGGTGAGGAGGTAGAGATTTAGCTCTGGATTTGCTAAAGACCTCCGATAAATCATGGTAGTAAGAGGGGACATGAACCAAGTCTGTCTCATTTAGTCTCTGGGTGATTATCTCTCTCCTGAGACACTTGTTGCGACAATCAGGTCCCCATGACGAGACTTTCCCCTGAGCCCAATCAAAACTTGGATTGTGAATCTTTAACCATGGGTGCCCAAAGATAGCCTGGTGAGACATAGCCTGAAAAACATGAAGACTGAGATCTTCAGTATGTGAGTCAGGTAAGGTGATCTTAACTGTCTGAGTCCGGTGAGTGATCCTGCCCAACAGACTGCCATCCACCGCGTTGACCTCTAGAGGTCGCTGGAGACGGTAAAGTCTTAGGTGGAGACTCCTGGCGAGAGATGGGTGTATGAGATTTGCATCAGAACCATAGTCTATGAATACCGGAACAGAGATAGAGGCAAATTCAGATCTGAACGTAGCTTTAATTTTGAGATGGGCAGGATTGTCTAGCAGCAGGTTCTGACTCACCCGACTCTTGGTTTCACAGGCGTCTTGGCGTTCTTTATGTGACAGTCACTCACCACATGTCCCAGTTGTCCGCAGTAAAAGCACCGCCCGTCCCTCTGTCGCCGAAGTCGCTCCTCCACGGGGAGACGGGTGAGTCCCAGCTGCATGGGCTCCTCAGCACGGGCTCCTGCGGGGGTGAGGCTGGATGCTGCAGGCCTGACATGACTGGGGAGATCAGTGGCGTCGCTCCTCCAGCTCCTGTTCAGCGGCGAGCGAACCCGGAAGCGGCCCCTCTCCAGCTCTCTCTCCGACAGTCTCTTGTCGATCTTGATTGAGAGCGCTATGAGTGAGTCGAGGTCCTCTGGGAGGTCGATTGAGACCGGCTGATCCTTGATGTTTTCAGAAAGTCCTTGAACAAAAACATCTATTAACGCAGCCGCGTTCCACTCACTTTTAGCCACCAGGGTGCGGAAATCAATGGCGTAATCCGACACCCTACGTCTGCCTTGTTTCAATTTAATCAGTGATCTAGATGCCTCACGACCAGGTGCAGTGTGTTGGAATACCTGCTCTAAAGCCCTGATAAACTCTGAGAGAGGAGCAAGAAGGAGATCGGCAGCTCCACTCTGCAGTGGCCCACGCTTCCGCTCGCCCTGAGAGGTGGGAGATAATAAAGGCTATCTTGGCCCGATCAGAGGGGAAGGAGGCTGCCTGTAACTCAAAATGTAATTCACATTGCGTGAGAAAAGGCCGAATATCACCTGACTCGCCTGAAAAACGTTCAGGACGAGACAACTGGTTACAAAATACATTATCATTAACATGAAGCGGCGCCTCCGCTGCCAAACCCGGAAGTGGGTCACTCGCAGCAACAGGCGCAGCCGCTGAGGGAAATCCCTTATTGAATTTTTCAACAAGACTACTAACCTGTGAGTCAAGAGTGGCCATAATCGAGTCTTGGCGTTGAGCCAATTCTCTCAGGCCAGAGCACAGAGTAGCCAGTTGCTCCTCCTGCTGAGCGAGCCTCTGACCCTGTGCTCGGAGAGCTTGACGAACCGGATCAGAATCAGCTGCGTCCATCTGGCCAGTTCGTGCTATCATAAACGTGGCACAGAAGGGACACAAAGGCTCAATTCTTCTCTTGTTTGACAATAGCAAGGTTTATTACAAAAGACAGGCAGGGTTCGGTACACAGAGAATCAAACAAGACAGGCTAAGGTATCCAAATCGTGAGGCAAAAGCTAGATCAATGACAAAACTGTGATTACCGGCAAGACGAGACAAGAAAGAGTGCTGGGACGAAGACTGTGACGTACGACGAACTGGCAACAAGACAGGGGAAGACATGAGGATTAAATACATGAGGTGATAGGGGGTGATGAGACACATCTGGGGAGGAACAATCAGGAAACAGGTGTGACAGCGCCAGACAGGAAGTAAAACCTACAGAGACAAGGAGAGACAGGTGAATCTTTCAAAATAAAACAGGAAGTACAGGACAAGACACAAAACATGAACACAAAATGGGTGACTTAACTAACTGAAAACAGGATCATGACACTTTTATGTATTCTCTTTAGCATTCCATTCGCGCAGACCTGCCTTCCGACACAACACCTGCCTCTACAAGCGGTAACCACAGATATGCTTTTATCTATCTTTATCTCTTTACGTGCTGTACTGTCTCTAACACACACACATTCTTTTGCTTTCACACACACACACATTTTCTCTTTTTCTCTAGCTTTCACACACACACACACACTCTGTTTTTCTTCCCCACACACACACACACACTCACTCCACCACATTCACTCTGCCTGCTTATCTCTCTAGCTTCCACACACACACACACACACACACCAAGATCACACTGTGTTGCACTAGATTCAGTTGTCTCCAGCAATATATCAGCTATGTCCCAATGTTGTGTTATTAGTTAGTAATTATTACCTCACATTTTAGGTTCTTTAAGAGAGGAATTTGTCAAATACCTCCGACCTGGGTGGCTCCCAACACTGCACCCCAGACGCACCCGGTTTAGACAGAAAAAAAGGCTCTGCTTACCTTATCTGGTGGCCACCTGTACGTCTGACGTGCAGCCCAGTGCCCCCGGTCTCAGGATCTGACCTTCTCGCCCTCCTACACCGGCTCGCCAAAAATGTTCAAAACATAAATTTAAAGGTCTGGAGCTGGTCCAGAATGCTCGCGACCTCGTTCCCATCTTCTCGAACAAACTTTCTTTGTTTCTATTAAATATCAAAAACTCAAATACTCAGAAGTAAAAAAAAAAATCACTGGAGACATGTAGAATCAGATGCAACTGAGTTTAATGTGCTCGCAGGCAACAAACACATCACAACTCAATGAGTCAAGCTCCGGAGCAGGACTGGAATTTCTTTGTCTGCGCACCTACTTTTATTGTGAAGATTTCTGCTGAGTCGTCTTTTTCTTAATCCTTCCCACCTGGCTCTGATTGTAACGGTGTCACATTTCTGCTGAGTTTCCACTTTTTCTTTAGTCCTTCTCCCTTGGAGCTGAAACATAACGGTGTCACATTTCTCCTAGTATCCTCTCTCTCCTTTTCTCCCTTGGAGCCAACTTCACCATGTAATGCTTTTCTGGGCAGTCTAAGACCGCCTCCTCTTACCAGAGTCATATCAGGACAAGCTGGAATTCCCCTAACTTTCCACCAGTGTTTCTGAGCCCATACTCATGCTATTTTTAGAAATGATGCACTGAATCCTAGGTACTTCTCCACCACAATGCTTAAGTGCTCAATGAGTGTATGTGTGTGTCATAGGAATACATAAAATAATAAACCAGTGTGTGACTTCTCAGTGCACAGAGTACATTGCTTCAACACGTATCTTTAAAGGTCAGCTTAAAGGTACAGTATAAACACTTCAGTAAATCAGTACATTACACTACAGATCCATTCGTGGCACAACTAGCCACAACTTAAGCGCATCCATATCTGACAAAGATAGTCTGTGACAGCTGCTCGGAGTGTAGCCCCTCATTTTGTCTGCACAGATCAGAAATGCGCAAACACAAACCACTCTTTACAACATCTGCATTTATTCTCTGTGGGCGTAGGGTCACAGCATCTACAGGAACACCATCAGCTTCATGGCCTTGCTGCTGGTTAACCCTCCGCTGTGTGTGTGTCTCTCTCTCTCTCTCTCTCTCTCTCTCTCTCTCGTCACTCTCTGTATACTCTGACTCACATAAATATGGGCGGCAGTCAAATTCAAAAGCCTCATCCACATGATTGAAATCGGGCAAATAATCATCCATGACACTGAATATCTTTGAGATAACACTAAACTACATTACTGTAAAATACTCTGGTTGTTATACTCTCTCTAAATCTCACGTACATTTCCACTGTTGTTTTCCTGCAACAAGTGACACCTTGTGACATCTAGTGGTACTTCAGAAAGAGACTTCAGCTTAATGAGGCAATAACAAACAGACCGGATCAAGTGAAAGGTAAAGAGACACTTCAGACACTTATAACAATCTGAGCCTGTCTGTAGTGTGTTATGCCTAGCTCAATCATTCATTATAATACTCAAAAGGAAAACGAATAGTTACGTCAGCAATAAGTAGCGTGGTGACGGTGTTGGGTGCCATGAGTATGTGGGTGCGAACACAAGCTATGTGTAGAATGAAACCATGGTTAAACTCAACATAATCAACCTACACTAAACAAACCAAGAAGAGTGCCTGAAAGGCACCAGCCTTCCAGGAGGGAGAAAGAGAGCCATCTTGAATTCACACAGCCTTTAAAAGCCCCAAGCAGGTGAAGCCAATCCCTAAATGAGGTGGGAGGGGCAAGCAATCAAGGAAGCTCTGGAACAGGAAAGCAGAGGCAGGAATGCAGGAACACACACTGACCAAGGCCTGTGGCCGACACCCCCCCCCCCCCCCCCCCCCCCCCCCCCCCCCCCCCCCCCCCCAACAATAAAACAAAGACCCCCACTAATAGGTTCTTTGTGGTCTCAACATGGAGCTTGAGAAAGCTCATCAGCCATTATATTTTCAGGGCGTTTAATGTGTTTAATAACAAGTGTGTAAGGCTGAAGAAACAGTATCCAAGGCATAAGTCTGTGGTTTGCTTTTTGCATACTAGCCAGGAAAGTTAGCGGATTGTGATCTGTGTAAACAGTCACTGGCGATAACAGTCCCACATACACCTTAAAAAACTTTAGTGCCCAAATCAAGGCCAGTGTCTCCTTCTCAATAACTGAATAGTTTAACTGGTGATGGTTAAACTTATGCGAAAAGAAGCAGAGAAGGTGTTCAATTCCTACTTCCCCTTCCTGCAGGAGGACAGCCCCAGCTCCAACGTCACTTGCATCGACCTGAACTTTAAAAGGTTTATCAAAAACAGGAGCTGCAAGAACAGGAGCTGAACAGATCAGTTTTCTGACAGCACTGAAAGCAGTTTGACATTTGGGAGACCAGACAAAAGGAATATTTTTTACTCAAAAGGTTAGTCAACGGGGCAACCACAGTAGAAAATTTGCGGCAAAAACTGCGGTAATATCCCACTAACCCTAGAAACCCTTTTTGGATGTGGGCACAGGATACTTATCAATGGCCTCCACCTTAACCTGCACAGGACGAACTTCACCCTGGCCTACAATCTTGCCAAGATAGGTCACGGTTGCTTTAGCAAACTCACACTTTGCTAAATTCACAGTTAAATTTGCTTCTGCCAACCTGTCAAACATTGCATTCAACCGCTGAACATGAGCTTCCCACGTGTCACTGAACACAACTACATCATCTAAATACGCTGCACATCCTGACTGACCAGCTAACACCCTATTCATAAGGCGATGAAATGTTGCTGCGGCGTTTCTCAACCCAAATGGCATTACAGAATAGGAGAATAACCCCCCACTGTTTAAAGTAGAAATACTCACATCATTAGGCTGAGGTTGTGGGTGTGAGGTTGCAGTTTCTGGGGCATCCTGAGAGGCCACGGACAGGCTCTCTTCAGCTCTTCTAGAGGTAGACGTAGTCCTGCGCTTTTCCGGCTAAAATGAGGAAGCAGAATACTTGAAAAGAATATATACATACAGTACAGGCCAAAAGTTTGGACACACCTTCTCATTCAATGCGTTTTCTTTATTTCCATGACTATTTACATTGTAGATTCTCACTGAAGGCATCAAAACTATGAATAAACAGATGTGGAGTTATGTACTTAACAAAAAAAGGTGAAATAACTGAAAGCATGTTTTATATTCTAGTTTCTTCAAAATAGCCACCCTTTGCTCTGATTACTGCTTTGCACACTCTTGGCATTCTCTGGATGAGCTTCAAGAGGTAGTCACCTGAAATGGTTTCCACTTCACAGGTGTGCCTTATCAGGGTTAATTAGTGGAATTTCTTGCTTTATCAATGGGGTTGGGACCATCAGTTGTGTTGTGCAGAAGTCAGGTTAATACACAGCCGACAGCCCTATTGGACAACTGTTAAAATTCATATTATGGCAAGAACCAATCAGCTAACTAAAGAAAAACGAGTGGCCATCATTACTTTAAGAAATGAAGGTCAGTCAGTCCGGAAAATTGCAAAAACTTTAAATGTGTCCCCAAGTGGAGTCGCAAAAACCATCAAGCGCTACAACGAAACTGGCACACATGAGGACCGACCCAGGAAAGGAAGACCAAGAGTCACCTCTGCTTCTGAGGATAAGTTCATCCGAGTCACCAGCCTCAGAAATCGCAAGTTAACAGCAGCTCAGATCAGAGACCAGATGAATGCCACACAGAGTTCTAGCAGCAGACCCATCTCTAGAACAACTGTTAAGAGGAGACTGCGCCAATCAGGCCTTCATGGTCAAATAGCTGCTAGGAAACCACTGCTAAGGAGAGGCAACAAGCAGAAGAGATTTGTTTGGGCCAAGAAACACAAGGAATGGACATTAGACCAGTGGAAATCTGTGCTTTGGTCTGATGAGTCCAAATTTGAGATCTTTGGTTCCAACCGCCGTGTCTTTGTGAGACGCAGAAAAGGTGAACGGATGGATTCCACATGCCTGGTTCCCACTGTGAAGCATG